CCCAGCCTTCCTTGCCGCTACTTGTGCACATGTGACTGCGCAGAAATGATATTATGGTTTCCAGATCTTCTTATTATAAGGAAATTCCTTTTTCTCCGGTTTGTTTCCTTCTCTTTCTTCCAGGCTAGAATGTGGACAGATGTGAGCCAGCTTCACTCATGTGAATGGAGACTGCATCCTATAACAGAACAACAAGCTAGAAGGAAACTGGGTCCATGGATAATCTCATGGAGCAGAACTGCCCATTCACTCTGGACCATGTGCCTAGCTTTGGACTGTTACGTGAGGGAGAAATAAACTTCAGTCTTACTTGAGTTACTGTACTTTGGGGTCTCTTTGTTGTAGCAGCTTAGCCTATGCCCTATCATAGGCAATCTCTCAGATGAGGCAACATTAGACTAAGACCTTGTCTTAGTTATCTAGTACTGCTATAACAGAAACACTACAAGTAGATGACTTTAACAAACAGGAATTTATTTTCTCACAATTTAAGAGTAGAGGTCCAAACTCAGAGTGCAAGCTCTAGGGGAAGGCTTTCTCTGTCAGCTCTGTAGGAAAGTCCTTGTTTCTTTTAGCTTGCGCTCCTGGGCAATCTTCATGTGGCTTGGCACCTCTCTTACCCCATCTCTGCTTCTCTCATTTCCTTGTTTAATCTCTTTTATATCTCAAAAGAAATTGACTCAAGATACACGGTACACTCATCCTGCCACATTAACATAACAAAGACATCCCATTCCCAAATGACATAACCACAGGCACTGAGATTAGGATTTACAATGCATATTTTGGGGGCACACGATTCAAGCCATAACAGATCTAAATGACAAGAACAAATAAGCCATACAAAGAAGAGGAGAAAGCATTTCAGACAAATTAAAAGGCCCTAAAAAGAGAAAGATGGTCAATATGGCTGGAGACAAGAAAGTGAATGGTGGAAATGAGGTTGGAGAATTCATCCGGGACCAGATCATGTAGGGTCTGAAGGCTAGTGTAAGGAATTTTTATTTTAAATATGATAGGAAACCACTGGAGAATTTTAATGAGAAGTGTCATAATTGGGTTTATATTTTTGAAAACATCACTCTGGCTGCTCTGTGGTAAATCAACTGAGGGGTCAAAGTAAAGGCAGAGAGACTAGTTAGAAAGCTACTGCAGTAGTCTAGAGGAACTAATTTTAGTGCTCTGAATTAGGGTGGTGGTAGCAATGAAGATAGAAGACATATTCTTGAAATGTTTTAGAAGTATCATCAACAAGGCTAATGATGGATTGGTTGTAGGGGGAGTGCAGAAGAGTGGAATCACGATGACTTTGGGCTTGAGCATGTGCTATTTAGTGAGATGCTTGCTGTGTGAAGGGTGAACCATAGGGGGACAAGAGTGGAGGCAGAGAACCCAGCCTAAGACAGCTGGGGAGCTTGAGTTGCGGACAGCTGCTTCATTTTGTTTTTGCAAGGAGGGGGCAGATTTTGCTATGGAAAGGAACAGCTTTCTTTAAGTCATGCTAGCTTTGATGGAAACCCCGGTGGTGTAGTGGCTAAGAGCTACAGCTGCTAACCAAAAAGTCAGCCGTTCAAATCCACCAGGTGCTCCTATAGGGTCGCTATGAGTTGGAATCAACTCGATGGTTTTTTTGTTTGTTTGTTTGTTTTTAGCTTTGATATGCTTATTAGACATTTAAGTAGCAATGTCAAGTAGGCAAGTGTCCCAGAGGTCTGGAATTCAAGGGAGATATCTGGACTGGAGATATAAATTTGAAAGTCATTAATATATAGATGGGTCATAAAGCTATGGACTGGATGAAGTCACCTAGGGAGAAAGCATACATAGAGAAGAGGGCAGAGGAGAAGCCAAGGGTAATCCAGCATTTGGAAGAATTGTTGTTAATTGCCGTCAAGTTGGCTCTGACTCATGGCAACCTTACGTATGACCAAACAGAATGTTGCCTGGTCCTGCACCATCTTAATGATCACTGGTATATTTGAGTCCATTGTTGCAATTTTTCAACTTAGGGGGCTCGTCTTCTACTACTATATTGGACAATATTCTGTTGTATAAGATTTTCTTTGGCTAATTTTTGGAAGTAGATCATCTAGCCTTTCTTTCTAGTCTGTCTGAGTCCTGAAGCTCCACTAAAGCCTGTCCATCATGGGTGACCCTGCTGCTATTTGAAACACCAGGCACATAGCTTCCAGAATCATAGCAACATGCAAGTCACCACAATACAACAAACAGACAAGATGGGTGGAAGAATATCCAGATATTTAAAAAAAAAAAAAAAAAAACCAAGAGAGGTGTCACAAAAGTTTGCAGAATTTTTCAAGAAGGAAGGTGTACTAAATCGCTACATGCTGTTGAAAGATTGAGTAAAATGAGGATTAAGACCAATCATTGGCTTTGATAAGATTTGAGATGAGCCATTTCAGTCATGTGGTAGGAATAAGTTCCTATTTGCTGTGAAAGGAAGTGGAGAAATTGGGCGATAGCTGAAGGTAGAAGTGGGGTCAAGTGAGTATTTTTAAAAATTTGGACAAGATCCCAAAAGGAATGATTATAGACAGTCCCCAGATTACAAACGAGTTCCGTTCCTAAATCTGTCTTTAAGTCGAATTTGTACGTAAGTTGGAACAGTTAGGTATGGTTTGTATCTAACATCAGTTAGTCAAATGTTTGTCTTAGTATACAGTATATAGTGTATCTTTCTATGCATAAAAAACATTAAACACTTCCAGATACACTAAAGTACTTTTAACATAATAATGCAGTTTATATTATTATAACATAATAATAATGTTTTGATGCGCATCACGAAGTAGCACCTGTTCGTTATTATGAACCACTGTATGTACCTTGAATTTTTAATATACTAGGCTTTTCAGGGGTTGTTTCGTGACCACAGGTTGTATGTAAGTGGGATGTTCGCAACCCTTGTACTAAAGAGAATAAGAGGAAAGACTGGGCATTTTACGTGCAAAGTGCTATCTTCAATAAGCATTTTTTAAAAACTGGTAAAGTGGGAAAAATGATCACTCTGATAGAAATAGGGCTGATGATAAAGAAGACAAGTTTAGGAGTGATGATAAATATATGTCGTACATATTAAGTTCAGTGAAGTATTTAAGTAAAGATTAACTGACCAACAGTAATTAACATAAGGGACTTTGAGTTTCAAAATAATAACGATGCTTAAGATAAACAACATATTTTACCAAGCACCATTCCAGTTGGTAGACACTACTTAAATTATACTATATCAAATTAACAAGGATTTACCTTGCCAAGATTCTTGGCACTTTTATATTAACTTAAATTGCATTGGGAAAAAACATAATAGTAACTGAAAAGCAACTAATTATAAGCAATTATAAGCCAAATTATGTTTATACCACAATTAGTGTTTGAGGTGGTTTAGCTGTCTGATTTCTTCATTTCAATAAGCAACATCAAATAATTGAATAGCTTGTAAAACACTTGTAAAAGAAATATTTCTTTTATCTTTATCCCAAGTATAACAACTACATTCTCTTTTAATTATTATTATAATGAAATAATCGGCATTTATCTTCTGTCCCAATCCCTTGGCCCCAACTGATAGATTTAGGCACTTTATATTCTGAGAGTTCATAACCCCAGTTTGAGTTGGATGCTTTTAAACAACACGACAAGAACAGTATATGTACCTACCTCACAACCTAGCTTCTTTCAACAGGTTTCATGAAGAAATGAGAACAAATCCACCTTTTTGTAAGACATGTAATACCCCGCAGGGTATCCAGAATGCAAACTCAAACCAGGTGTTTTTTCAGTAGCTTCTTTTTTTTTAGTTAAGAAAAGTCTTTTGTCTTCTGACAATAGTATTTTCTACGTCAGGTTGGTGTTTTTTTCCCTCTCAAATTTCCAAGTAAAAGTCCCAACTTTGTTAGCACAATTTTACCACCTCAATTAAACTTTTTGACCACGTCTTGACAACTATTTTATACTTTCCATCGATTACTGAACTGATGGATTTTTAAATTACCACTAGTAATAGTTCTGGAATTCCTGTTATATTAATTTCCATGTAAATCTTTCTGAAGCAAGTGAGATGATAGTACTGTAAATTTTGGAGACAGGATCCCCTTCCATTAGGGGATCATCAACTCAAGAAAATTCAGATAAAAATATTATCAATTAATTTCTGATTATCTTTAATAAATATTTTTAGAAATAGTTTTGCAGAACAAATTCACACAAGTTGACCAAATGGAGCAGGGAGTTGCCAGTGTCTCATCGTGAGAGCCAGCGCTCAGCCATCTCCGAGGCTTGGTGGGCCACATGGTGGGAGGTACAAGCTGGATCTCTCCAGTGCTGGGCGCCACGTTGCTTTTCCCTTTTTAAAAAGGGAGACAACGCTTCTGCCTATTGTGTAAACGGGTCGAGTACTGCGTTTATTAGCACATCAACTAAGGCGTGAGCCGAATTAAAGTCTTCTAACCTGACCCTTGGCAAGGTGTGCGTCACGGACAAATGCTGAGTTTTAATGTCCGATTTGCTTTCGTCTCGGGGAAACGCAGAGAATGGCCAAACACCTCAGCAGCAGCGGTGAACAGCATAGGATCAAAACCACCACCCCAGTCCAGCAGTGGCCACCGCCCCCACTGAACCCGGCCGACTCATCTAAGGGCCCACCCATGTTCGTTGCTAACCGGTTGTTTTTTGCAGAGTTGCTCACTCCGTTCCTGTTCTCCCCACCCACTCTTCATTCGACTCTAGGTTTCTAGTGCCTAACGGGAAAACACAGCGCCGTCTCCCGCCCAAGGGACTGCCCAGGCAAAACCGCCGCGCAGCGGGCACTTCCCCGCGCTCCCTGCAGGCCCGCTGCCAGCCAGCCGCTCCCCGGCAGCAAGTGATTGACAGGCGACTGCAGCTATGAGCCGCAGGGGCGGGACACCGTGCGTCACTTCCTGGCCTTGCTTGGGAGACGAGGTATATAAGGTCAGTGCTCACGCAGCGCTCTCGCTTACACAGTATGGCCGGCGACATTAGCTAGCGCTCGCTCTACTCTCTGTAACGAGGAAACAGCGGACTACAAGAGACTGAACTGTATCTGCCTCTATTTCCAACAGACTCACGTTCAACTTTCGCTCTCAAAAAAAAAAAAAAAAAGCCGGGAAATTTTATTAATCCTTTTTTTAAAAAAAGTTAATATAAAATTATAGAAAAAAAAAAAGGAACCTGAACTTTAGTAACACAGCTGGAACAATCCGCAGCGGCGGCGGCACCGGCGGGAGAAGAGATTTAATTTAGTTGATTTTCTGTGGTTGTTGGTTGTTCGCTAGTCTCACAGTGATGGAAGCTGCACATTTTTTCGAAGGGACCGAGAAGCTGCTGGAGGTTTGGTTCTCCCGGCAGCAGCCCGACGCAAACCAAGGATCTGGGGATCTTCGCACCATCCCAAGGTCAGTGCTTCGGCTTGTTCTGGCCGTCAGATACGGGTCTGGGGGCTGTCGCCGCCTGGAAAGCACCAGACGCGGGAGGGGGCGGGGACCGGGTTCGTGGAGCTTTCAGGTGGAACCAGCTTCGCGGGCAAGGGTCGTTTCGGTGGCTTTGGAGGGGGGTGCCGGATTTTGGGGTGAGCGGCCGCGTCCACGCGGGGCCAGAGCCGGCTTCTTTTGCCGCCGTTGCCGGGCCGGGCGCTTCCCCGGGGGGAGGGGAGGAGGCTGGCGCCGCCGCGTGCTCAGGTAACGTCCCCTGCGGAGAGTGCGGAGCGGCGGGCTGCACCGCTCAGGGTGGTTTTGCGGCCCGCGCCTCCGACTTTCGTTCCGGAGTTGGCGGGCCTAGGTCCCGGGTCGCGGCGCCTGGGGTGCTGCGCGGGTTCCTTCCCGGCAGGTGTGGCTCGGCGGGCTTAGGCGCTAATTCGGGCGTGCCCGCTTCGGGGAATGGAGGAGGGAGCGGATCTGGAGCCGGACTCGTTCTTCGCGCCGGCGCGTAGAGGAGGGGGCCCTCGGCTGAGGGGCTGGCGGAGCAGGCCTCCCGCCCGCGTCCCCTCTGGCAGCATGTGGCGCTCGGGCGGCGGAGATTGGGCGGGAGCTGTGGTGTCGCAGTGGCTGGGCCCCACCGCCGCCTTAATCAACATTCTCTGTATCAAAGCCTTTTGGGGGCGGTTGGGCGGACGACATGATCCCTGCGGCAGCGGCGCAGGGGGATGGCCACGAGCCCGCCGAGGTTGCTTCTGAGTCCCTTGACCTTGGGTTGTGTAACCTGTTACGGAGTTGGCGGGATCCGGGAGAATGGAGGGGAGGTGCAGGGTGGAGTAGGATTTGCCTACATTTGTGGGACAGAGGCCCGTCTGAACCTTACGTAATACCTTTAATGTCTTAAGCTTCAGGAAAAGAGTCTGAGGCCCCAGCCACCAACCGCGGGCAGTCACGCAAGAGAGAGCTTCTGCGCCGATCACGCAGAAAAGGAAAGGTCTTTCTAGGGTCTTAATGGAAATCCAAGCGCGAATAAAGAGTACAGGCAATAACGAAGATGCCTGGGCCTTGGTCCCTGCGGCACTCACACCCTTCGTAATCCCATGTCTTCCTAGGGCCCTCCACCGCGTTCTCCCGGCTCTTCCGCGCGCGAATGTGACGGTGCCGCGGAGGAACCGGCGTGGCCACTTCATTGAGAAGTGGCAACCAATGAGCTCCTGGACCCGACAACAGCCTGGCCCCAGGGTGTGGGCCAATAGGCGTTTTAGGAATGTTGGCTGCGCTCGCCGCCGTCCCTTGACAAAAAGCAACTGGAAAAGGCAATCCAGGCAGACACGTGCTGCCGGGACTTTAAGGCACGTTGGGCAGCCCAGTTTCTAGTATTGTATCTTGAAGGATTCCATTGTAACTGAAAAACATAATCGTGTTAATTAAAATGTCACAGATGTTATTTTTCAAGCTTTGTGCGACACTTAAAATGTCTTCTAAGCCCTTACTATGCGCCAGGCTCAGTTCTAAGCACTTAACATGTATATTATAGGAAGAGGTTACTTTTCTCATCATAAATACGAGGAAGTTTAGTATTTCCTCCATTTCACAGACGCGGAAAACTCCCTGGTGGTGATAGGCATATGCTAAAACGATTGCGACCGGGATTTTTACCTAGAAAAACTTGTTAAGGGAGAACTGAGTAAGAAGTCTAGAAAATAAAAATTTTGTTACTCTGGCTCTTTGAATGTTTGAAGTCTTAAGTTATTTGTAAGCAGACATTCTTAATAAATAGGAAGCGAATTTTTTTTTTTTCTCCCCAAGTTCTTGGGCAAAAGTGTCAGGACTTAAGCTTTGGATTAATTTGGTTAAAAAAAAAACAAAACCAAACCCGTTGCCGTCGAGTTGATTACGATTCATAGGGACCCTATAGGACAGTAGAACTGCCCCATAGGGTTTCCAGGGAAGCAGCTGGTGGATTCGAACTGCCAGCCTTTTGGTTAGCAGCCATAGCTCTTAACCACTACGCCACCAGGGTTTCCGATTTTAGTTAAAGTACAGTGTTTGTGTGTGTGTGTGTATAAAAGGTTATTAAGTATAATCCCTGAGTCAAGAGAAGAAAGGATTCTAAAGGCAGCTTGCTTTTAAATGTTTGAGTACCACCTGTCTTATTGCACTTTTATCAGTTGAAATTGTTTAAGTGTGGTTCTTGAAATGATGACAGAAATTAAACCTTTAAGGGCAAAATAAAATACTCTGTTTTGTGGAGTTCATGCATTTTGTAGATGTTTAACATTTATTAAACCACTGTTTTTGAACGGGTACTACCACATCTCAGTTTCTGTAGATAGAGCAAGTAAGAACTGAAAAATCTCCATTGGATTTAACTAAGAAGTCCTTAGGCAAGAACTTTTTTGGTGACTTGTCAGGCAAAGATGCACTGGTTAAGTTCATTGTTGGGAGATAAAGTACCTGAAAAATAGTAGGTGGTAGAGAAATATTTATTGAAAAAAACCAAACCATTGCTGTCGAGTCGATTCAGACTCATAGTGACCTTATACGACAGAGCAGGGTTTCCAAGGAGTGCCTGGTGGATTCCAACTGCGGACGTTTTGATTAGCAGCCTAACTCTTAACCACTACGCCACCAGGGTTTCCTTATTGAAAAGGTGCTGGATAAAACCATAGTAAATTTACTCTTTTCCAGAATCATAGTTTTGTAAGGAAGGAGAGTCATGGCCTTTCAGTTGGGGAAGGAATGCAGATCAAGGGGAGGGTTCCTTCTGTCCACCCCCACACAGATGAGTGAGACTTCTGTCAGTGGCCGGGAGGATCTTGGCCCCAGAGACCCATGGATGGATTATCATCATCTAGAAGAATAATGTAAAATGAAGTGGTTAAGTGCATGGCCTCTGGAGGAGCACCTAGATTGAATTCAGACTTCCTTTAATAGGTTGTGTGGTCTTGTTTCCTCATCTCCAAAATGGAGGCAATAATAGTACCTACCTCTGGGGTGGTTGTGAGGATTAAATGAGGTCGAATCTGACTCATAGTGACCCTACAGGACAGAGTAGAAGTGCCCATAGAGTTTCCAAGGTTGTAAATCTTTAACCAAGGCCGACTGCCACATTTTTCTCCCCTGGAATGGTGGGTTCGAATGGCTGAGCTTTTGGTTAGCAGCCGAGCACTATAACCACTGTGCCAACAGGACTCCTAAAAAAAATAAATAAACATGTTATTAAAAGCTGTAATTTAGGCTTCAGTGGTTTTACTAAAACTATTTTAATGTATGTTACACGTGTCTTAGTTTCTAATATAAAAATTAAAATATGGGTTTTATAAACTTTCGAAGGCTGCTGACAGAGAAAGCTTTCCCCTGGAGCTGGCACCCTGAGTACGGACTGCTAGCCTCCTAAAATAGTGTGTGTGTGTGAGCTACCACGCTTTGCCACCAGTGTTCCAAATACCGGCAGGGTCACCATTGGTGGACAGGTTTCAGTAGAGCTTCCAGACTAAGACAGACTAGGAAGAAGGACCGGGCAGTCTACTTCTGAAAAAATTGGCCAGTGAAAACTTCATGAATAGCAGCAGAACATTGAAGGCTGCAGATAATAAAAATGGAGCAGTTCTACTCTGTAACACATGGGGTTGCTATGAGTCAGAATTGACTCCGTGGCAGCTAACAACAACAATCACCAGTGAGAGGTATCTTAGTAATTCATGCATAAATTGGATTTTGTACATTGCTGAAGTACAAAAATAGAATTTTGTTTAGGAGATCAAGATTTAATTACTGTTAGAAGGGGTCTCAGTTTCTGTTAATAAGAATAGTTATGTATGTGGACCAGCCATCTTGCTGTGAGAGCTCCTATTGCTTATCAACACTTGATGTTTGTCAGTCTTTTTAGTTTTAGCTGTTCTGTTGGAGGGATAGTGTAATGTCTCATTGTGGTTTTAATGTTGCATTTGCCTGATCACTAAAGATGTTGAGTACCCTTTGATAGAAGGAGCCCTGGTGGTGCAGTGGTTATGCGCTCTCCTGCTAACGCAAAGGTTGGTGGTTTGAACCCACCAGCCACTTCTTCCTTGGATTTACAGCCTTGGAAACGCTTTGGGGCAGTTCTGCTCTGTCCGGTAGGGTTGCTATGAGTTGGCAATGGGTCGTAGTAAGACCAAAACAGGTAGTGAGTAGTAGTAGACACTTCAATATGCTTATTGCCTATTTGGATATCCTCTTGTGACATGCTTCTGATAATGCTTGTTTGACAGCATGTTACTATCACCAGTGATTTTTCAAGCAAAAATCTAGGGGGAATCTAGAGAAAGGAGAGCTTTTAATCCACCTTTGTCTTGGGGCCTTTCTATAGCTTGAGGAACTTGTACTTCCATTTTCATAGCTTCACAAGATCCAGGGAATTTGAAGACCTAGTCAAGGCCCCAAGGGTCTGTATTCTCATTGTGAAATAAGTAAATCTGCCCTACATTCCTACCCATAGATAACACTAATTCCATTAAACTGTAAATAGACTAAAAGCTGTGGTTAAAGGACAGATTAATAAACTGGATTAAAATAAGTAAATTTCACTATGTTTTTTCAAAAGATATTTAAACAAGGATTTAGAAAGGATTAAGAGGAGGCACAAATGTCCCAAGAGGGCATCATTATAAATATTAAAGACATTAAAAAGATCACAAGGATGTTATGGAAAAATTCCTAGAAAGTACCTTTCCAAAATTGGTGCAAGAAGAATTAGAAAACCTAAATATAGTTCTATAACTATTACATAAATTTAATTATTTGGTAATCATCTTCCCACAAAGAAAACTCCAGGCCCAGATGGTTTCACTGGAGTTTTCTATCTAACGTTCAAGTAAGAAGTAATTCCAATTTTTTTCACACATTTTCCAGAAAATAGAGTAGGAACACACTTCTAGCCTAATTTTGAGGTTACCATAATTTTGATGTCAAAACCTGACAAGATTTGAACGAACTGGAAT